CTTAGGGTTCAATTGCTTTCTTGATGACTTCCAAAAATATCTATTCAACTTTTCATAAAGGGAAGGACAGGAAAACACCCCGAGGGCTCTACAATCAGTATGATTCCTTCTTGTGTGGGAGGGTGAGCATAAAAGTTGTGATGGGCAAGCTTCCTTGCCCAGAGAGGTTGGAGAGTTCCCACCTATGGTTCTCTGGCAGACCAGATGGGAAGTGATGATGGAAAGGAAGAGATATGGTGAAGTGGGAGTGGAGGTTGGAGCTGTGGCTCATTTACCTGGATGTTCAATTGGGGCATGGCTGATGTTCTTGAGCCCCCTGTGAATTCCCTCAGCATTCTCCCCTTTGCTGCCCTGGGCGCTGTCTTTGTGGGCTGTCTCCTCACACATGAACACGGCAGACCACAGGCCACATCAGAGCCAGGGTGGAATCAGTACTTCCTATTGCTGCCTGAGAACAACTTGCAGTTTGCTATGAGCCCTCCCAGAACTGACAGAGGTCTTGGTCAGGGGTCGTCTCTTTCAAGACTGGGTGAGTGCCCCTTTGGGGTTCCCCTCAAGACTGCTGTGACTTTCTTTTTTTTTTTTAATATATCTTTATTGATTTCAGAGAGAGGAAAGGAGAGGGGGAGAGAGAAATAGAAACACCAATGATGAGAGAGTCATTGATCAAGCCTGTAACCCGGGCATGTGCCCTGACCGGGAATCGAACCCTGATCGCCTGGATCCCAGGTCGACGCTCAACCGCTGAGCCACGCCCGGCCAGGCTGCTGTGTGACTTTCTAACATAGGGCTTAGACAATTTCAGGCAGCAGCTTCATCTCCCTTGTAGACTAGGTGTTTCTGGAGGGGTTGTCAGTGGGTAGAATTCAGCACAGTGTGCAGCACATAGCAAATGCCGCATCATGAACCATGAACTCTACTCTTGAGGATGAGGGATGGGATGGCACCTCACTTCCCTCTCCCCACCCCTTGCTCAGCATGGAGGTTTGCATGTAGTAGTAGCTCAGTGAATGAGCGCAGGAAGCATGTTCTCAGGGAGCTCTTAAGACTAAGATTAATTCAAAGACTAAGGTGTTTGAGTATGTCATAAGCGCTATTATAGGTTTCAGGAGGTTTTTACAAAGAAAACAGCCCTTGGCTTCTAAGAACACAACTTGTTAGATGTTCAAGTTAAAATAAACTGTTAAACTGTAGTACAAGTCATGTAAGGACTGGAGGGCCAAAATGATCCATCCAGATGGGTGTTATGAGTTGATACCTAAGGTGTCTGGCTGCTCCATGGGCTTGTGACATGTGAGGTGCACAGAGCCCTGTGCTGGCGCTTAATGTTCTACTGTTACCATCTTGAAGTTCTTAATAATTTTTGAACAGGAGGCCCTGTATGTTTATTTTGTGCCAGGCCTTGCAGTTATATAGCTGGTCCTGACTCTAGGGGGGATCTGAGGAACCTTTAGCTGGGTAGAGAAGATGAGTGGCAGAGCTAGGCTGGAGTTCTCCAGGATGTGGCCGTCCTGGCGTCAAGCCTGGTGCAGCAGTGTGTACCTGCTCAGGACATGCTTGTGTAGAGTGAGGGCTCAGGGTGTGGCATTTGGATTCCAAGCAAGCCTGTTGGTGAGGCTCCAGAGATGGAGCCTGCATGGAGGCCTGGTCTGCCCTGTGTGTGGAGGAGCATGCTTACCTTCCCCATGGGGCCCACGAACACAGGGGCCGCTTGGGAGGGTGGCCTGGCCTTGCTTTGTTGCCCTGGAGTTACTCTCCTTTCTGGAATGCAGTGGGTAGAAACCTTGTAGGGCTGCTGGAAAGCCCAGAGGAGAAAAAGGACAGGAAACAGCACGGAAAAGGGCATTCTTCCCTGGAGCAGGCACAGTTCTTGGCTCTAGAGGGTCATCATGTGGCATTTGTGAAGTGTTGGGGCTGAGAGTCCTTTCTTAGTGGTCAGGCTAATACCTACCTATTGGAGGACAGGGTCCAAATCATCCACAGAAGCGTAGGCAGCCGTTGTTCCCCAGGGACACATAGTCTCTATCTAGGACAAGACAGCCACACACAACATCCCACTCCTTCTGCTCTCTGACAGACTGCGGCTTGAAGTCCAGCTTTCTTCTACTGACTGTCAGTACCTTCTAAACAAATCACCTGGCTTGTTTGGGTACAGTAGTGTGGGGAAGGGTGGCAATTGCCTAGGCTGGTGCCTGGCACATTGTAAGGGGGCATTGTAACTGTTATTAAGAATCCAATCGGTGGTTGGGAGATCAGATTATGGAGAGAACATATGGGCCAGCAGGGCTGCAAGATGAGATGTTGGTTCTAGAACCACAGGTGATACAGAGGAGACCCCATACAAGGGTGAGGAGGTGTGCATGTGGCTTGTTTAGAGTGTGTGGAAGGGGGAAGGTGAAGTCTGAAATGCAGGGAGCAGTGCAGAGAATGCTGCCCCACCCCGTGATGGATGGAGAGGCCTTTGTGTTGGTGGGACAAGGGGTGGGGACAGTGGGGGATTTGGGGGCTGGTGATGGTGGGTCTCTGTCAGCTGACTTCCTTACATTGGCACCTCCCTCAAAGCCCAAGCAAGGGCTCCTAGGCAGAAGGGCTGGCCTCTGTTCTCCTTTGACCTGTTACGTACCCTCCCTCTGGGGATCACTCTGTTGGTTGGTGTCTGGGCTTCCCTGTCCAGTCTCCCTTCTTTCTTCATAATGAGGGGAAAGGTGGGACCAACAGCAGGGATTCACAGTCATGCAGGCCTAGGGTGGCCTCAGCCCACCCCCTCCAACTCCCCCCAGTAGGAAGGCAGTTAGGCTTGGCCATTGGAGCCAGGTGATGAATGACCTAGGGCAACTCTCTTAACCTCTCTGGTCCTTAGTTTCTTCAGAAATACATGTGGTGTAACAGTATTGCCAGGAAATGAGGCCATGATGCAAAGGGCCTGCAGTGGCACTCTGCTGAGAACATGCTAGGGCAGGATAATTCTGTGTGTCCCGGTAAGTGTTGGCAGAGCCAGCTGTGCATGCCACTGGCTCCTGGTTCCTACTGTAGTAGACAAGAAGTGCAGACGAGTGGAGGCATGTCCCCTTGGACAGTCTTACAGAGTGTGGGGGACCCAGATGGGCACAGAGAGGCCTGTCTCAGGGCCTGGTTGACTTGGATACGGTGAAACATAGGGCTGTGGGCAGTATTTGCAAAGTGCAAGTAGCCTGGTCTCGTGAATATTTAAGGAGCTCACATTTACATTTACCAAGTGCTCGTCATGCCCTCTTATCCTGAGTGCTTTATGTGACATGCCTCCTTTAGCCTCAGAAGCTCCATGAGATGTGCCTTCACCTTGCAGAAGCAGAAACGGAACCTCAGTATCTCCCCAGCTGTGGCTCCCAGGCAGACTGGCTGCAGAGCCCCACAGCCTCTTGGTGGGCACTGCTTGCCCCTCCCTGAACACCACTGGAATTCTGGGGCCCTGAATATGAGGGATCTTGACTGGTTCCCCATAGTCTCTTCTCTAAATGGGGACTATAGTGGGATCTTCCAGTCCTATACACACTGACCTGGCTGCACTGATGAACCTGGCCCAGGTGTGGGAGCCAGGAAGGGAGGAAGCATTAGCCTTGAGGCCTGGCTTTCTGTCTCGGAACTGTGTTGACATTCCATAGAGGAGACAGCATTGGCAGGTATTTGGGAAACACCAGTTTTCCTTCCAATACTTTTGTCCCTGTTTATTCAAGAAGTGGTAAACACTGATTGTCACCCTGGCTTAATTAAACAGAAAAAAAGTCAGCAGTCTAGAATTTTGGTACATTTCAAATATATTTTATTACGGTTCTTTTTGTCTTAGAAAGAATATGAAACCTGCATGCAACCTTAGTGGTTTCTGACATTTACACAGTATGCGACACAACATTACCATGTGGCATACACTGAAGGGACAGTGTGTGCAGGGGCATTCTTAAGAGTATATTTACAAAGGAAATGGCGCATGGCCATCTTAGCTTTCTAAAGAGGGCTGCACTGTTTAACACTGAAGAATTACAGGAGGATCACAGATGTATTGCTTTAGTACTGCATGGTCCATTGTGATGAGGGGAAGAAATATGCTTTGAAGGTTCTCCCTCATCAGTAGAATGTGTCTGTAGCTGTATACTGTTGTGTATTCATATATTTTTAAGTTTGCTCCTAAGGGTTTTGCTAGTAGTGTCAGGAACTTCATGTGCTTCCCAAGCATTAACTATTGAAGCAATGAACTTCCACAAACCCTCAGATTGAAGAGAAGACCCAAACCCTTCCTTAAGTACCATTTGCTTTGCCATCCCAGGATCTTGGAAATGTTTCCTAGAGTGTATAAAAATTAACCAGGGGGATGAAGCACATTTCTGTGGCAGTCAGACTTGAGTTCATAAAAACAGATGCAGAGAGATCTCCTTGCCCAGCCACTGGGTCCACTGCGGGGTCCCTCTGAGGGTGTGACTGACCATGAGCCCAGCTGTGCCAAGGAGCCATGACCTCTGAGCAGAAGCTTCCTGCTCTAGGAATGGAGCAGTGCTGCTATGAAATGCCTCAACCAAGCTCCCTGTTCCTCCTAGGTGCTTATAAAGCTCAGATGTATAGTGATGTCTGGACAAATACAAAAAAGCATTTTTTTGCAAAGGAAAGGCATGAGTTTCCAGCCTTTCAGTAAAAAGCAGCCTGTGATGAATCTGGAAGCAAGAGAGATGGGTCTCACATCTAGAAACCTTTTGCACACAACTATAAAATGTAAAAACTGACCCTTGGTAAAAAGTGCTTTGTAACAATATATAATTTGTATCTTATGCCTGTGAGAAAGAAAGGGTTTTTTTGTTTGTTTGTTTTTTAATCTGCAAAGTCCTTTGCTGTCTCCCAATCGGTATGACGCTTTCCCATCTGGGGTTTTTCACCCTATTCTTCGTAGACCCTGGGAAGAGAAAGCACCCACGTGAGTGGCTCAGGAAATGATCTGGGCAGTGTACAGGCTGGTGGCTTCGCTGCTTCATTCTTATCTTCAGCAGTGTCCCTCCCAGGACTGCAGGAGCCTGGGGGGAAGCGGGGGACATCTCAAAGGATGCCATCACCAGGACCACAAAAGCTCACCTGAATCTGACTTTGACTTTCTAAACAGCCTCCACCTTTGTAGTCTCATTTTATCTTCAAAGCCTCATGAAACAAACCCTCTCTGTATATGTGGAAACTGAGGCATAAGAGACTTGTGGACATTGAATGTCAGTGGTAGGAAGGAGATCTGTCTCCAGCATGGGCGGGG